AGTATTGGACCGGGCACTGTCCCGAATGGTCCCGAATGATACCGCACTTGTGTCCCTTTGAACTTCAGTCGTATAATAAATCTCTTATTAACCAAGCTTGCTCGGGACCGTACTGGAAGAATATCGGCCCTCTGTCTTTTTTGTACGGAGCGAGCGCAGCGAGGTCCGTATTGTCAAGACCTCGGGCCGATATTCTCCCAGTACGGCCCTCGCGCTTGGTTAATAAGATAGATGTATACCTTAACTTGTCAAAACACAAAGGGCCAGATGAGTCGCTGGCTCATTGTACATCTCGAATTGAAATAAAAGAACAGACAGACAGACAGAGAGACTCTCGTTGATATAGTGACAAAGTCTAAATTGTAGTGGGCTTAGTATACTACAATTGTTCCACAAAAATTATAATAAATTTTTAGTAATATGCGAGACGAGAAGCGGCATTAACTTTTACAATGACGATTTGGAAATTAAGGCTTGAAGCTAAGGTCACTCTTTTCATTGCAGGAAGGAGAGGTCTATTTGAGTACCTCGTGGGAGTAAACGTCAAGTTAGCGTGCTTCTTAGGTTTCATTCCTTGTCAGGAAATTTTCTCCGATTTCCCCTACATTAGCTGATATAAATACGGAAGCTTTTCCGCGGGAGCTAGAGGAAGTTTCCCGGCAGACTTAGAAAAAGTTTACAGGAATCTGAGAAAGGTCGTGACCAGATATTTTTAAAATGTTTAAAAATTCAAAGCGCAGGCACAGCCGACCTCTCTCCTCCTGGATGAGAACCTGGGGACGATATTTTACTGTTTGCATCAAAATGGTTCGTACTTCAATTATCATGCTTCTGGCCATTACCTACATCGACGACAAACTACGTTCTCTCGTAAGAGGGGCAGTCGTTTACCCATCATTGCAATGGAACTACCGGAATCCTAAGTAAGTTTTTAACCTAAACGATAGAACCAAAGAAAGATTGATTGAAGCTGGTCGAATGACGAGCTTACTTTGTAAGCGGAAGAGTTCTAAACCTTTTAAAATTGTTATTCTATATGGCTTACACTGTTATAGGTTAGGAGTGAATTCAACGACAGAGTGATCGTGAGATTTTGCTGAAAGTTATAGGTCTTAACGGCAAAGTTGACATTGTTTTGGGAACTGAAAGAAGGAACACGTTAAAACTTACGTACTGATCGAATCGAAGAAATGCTTGGTTCTGGAATATTTGCCTTCGCCCACGTGTTGTATTGGCTTCGAATGTTTAATAATTATATTTGAGGAGACATTTAGAATATTTTCTTTTGATAGGCGACAATTTTTCCACAGTAAGGTTATTTCTGTGAGTTTTTCACAAAGTTTAGTGCTTGCTATGTCTATCCAGGATTATCAAGCAACATGAAGACTAGGTTTACACTAGAGGAAATTGTTCCGGATTCATCCGAAACGTTCTAGTACCGGATTCATTCTGCCGTTTACACGAAAGTGTATGGCAAGCCAAAGCGGACAAAAGCGTATCGAGTTTGACACGCGATAGTTGAGTTGTATACACGATAGTCCAAAAGACTATCCGATACTCGAGAATAACTCTATTTGGTAGTTGGAATAAATGAACAACAATTGAGATTTATAAGCGGTAGTCGAGAATTATTAGCAATAATCGAGAATATTCTAAAGTTTATACCGCAGTCGAGATTTTATATACGATGGTCGAGATTTTATATACGATGGTCGAGATTTTAGAAACGATGGTCGAGATTTTATATACGATGGTCGAGATTTCCGACTGTAATTTTGGTCAGCGGCTATAGATAGACGCGTTCAATGATTCATGTTAGGCGGACATTTTTTCCTATAAAACACGAGGTTGATTTCCATAATGGCGGATGTCGAAGAACTGCGAGGTTTTCTTTTGAGTATTAAAAGTCTGTTTGATTACAGCATGCGATCATATCGGAATAAAGACTCAGTTGGTGCAGAACACTGTAAAAGCAAACTGGAAAACTATGCTGCCATAGTCGTGGCCATGGCTGTGGCTGTGTCTGAAAACGAAGAGTTGGGGACAACTAATTCAGCACAACATTCTGCATC